AAGAGCTCATTCATTTCAGTTTAAAAAAATTTTTTCTAATGCCAAATCACAACTAAAGTCACCTCAAGGCACTCGAGTTTTGGACAAAATTTGACTTTTCTGCCAAACATTTCTAGACAGCCACCTTTGCATTGAGACGATTTTTGTTGAGGCTTCACTGAACAGTAGATCGATCAACTGGAGGATTAGATGCATCTCAGCTCCTGTGCCAGGTCTTTGCTGGATTTTTTTGTTTGTTTATTTGTTTGCCTTTTAATAGATACTGTTCATCTGCTGTAGATAGTTTTTTTTAGGCCTGCCACTTCTTCTTTTGCCCTCCATTTGTCCAGTTTCCTCATATTGTTAAGGATACACTGCACAGCATGCTGAGATATGACAAGGTTTTGGTTAATATTTCTTCAGGAATGACCTTGTTGGTGTAGATTCAGCTGAATCAGGCTGCATGTAACAAGGTGCTTTAACATAAAATTTATGATTGGTTGTTTGCTAAGTTGTCTGTGTAGACACAACACTGGCTCATTCTTGATTTAAGTGCCTTTTCATGTTTGAATGATTGACAGGTCAGTGTTAAGGGATTTAATAAACAACCCAAGAAAATATCCCACTGAAAATGTTTAGGGTTTCCTTTTTGAAAGCCTGGTGAAGTATTGCTCATGAACAAAACTAGTTTTGAAACTAACCACAATTCTGTGTTCTGGTACAGGTTGGGAACTGGTTTCATCTCCACTGGCTGGATGGAGCTGTTAAAGCATTTTAAAAAGAAGTTGGTTCTCGTCTTCATCACTGCGCTCTTCCTCTTTTTGGTCTTCACTGTGAAAACGCCCAGCACATACAACTCAATCCCAAAACCATCTGGGCCGCCAAGTGCTTGCTCCATGAGGATATCCGAGCAGACCATCATGCCGCTTAACAATACCAAGCACTTACTGGTGTCAGCCTACATGGACCAAAGAGTGAAGGATTTTGATATACGCATCATTGGCATATTTAGGAGAGACTCCATCCAACCCCTTCACTGCTTTTTCTGCTGTACTGGTTATTTGAGTAAAACCACTCCAGCAACAATTTTACAGCATCCAGATAACTTTGGTTTTCCCTTTGTCACTACGGATGTCATGTGTCAGATTCCTCAGAATTGCAATGCGACACATGTCACTCTCTTGACTACACCAGACAAAGAGAGTCCATCTACTGATCAATGGCTCCCAATAAGAAACAAAGACACAGTTGGACAGAAGGAAGAAAACATGCAGTTTGACTTCACAGTCTGCATCTCTAACCTCTTTGGTGACTACAACAATGTGCTTCAGTTTGCACAGACTCTGGAGATGTACAAGTGAGTACTGCAACTCCACCACAAGCTACAAAGTCAAAAATGTGCAACAGCAGCTGGTCCTGACACAGAATGAAACCTAACAAGCTCTGCAAAGGCTCCTCTTCAATGCAGTGTCTGGATTGTATCACATTGCACAGTTGTGTCTGTTACTCCTGTTGCTGCCAGAGTTTTTTTTGTTTTTGTTTTTTTTTTAAAGTGTAGTTGGACAGTGTCTTACCACTCAGACGTCTATCACTTGGTGTTAAACATTTACAGTAGCACTGTTTAAATTTCTGCAGGAGCTGTACGTCTTTTCAGACACTGTAGGAAAATGGATTTTTAGCCCTGTAAACTGTGGATTTCCAGCTGTTCAGAACCAGTTAGGAATAGACAGTGTCCCTCCTACTTGAGAAACACCACAGTCTACTCTTAATGATTATAAATTATTTTTTGTCTGTGTATTTTATCAGTCACATAGCTGCAAGCTATTGTGACAGGTACAGGCTAATACAGTATAAATAGTATAACACAGTATAAATATTATACTAAGGATAGAAAAATGACCAACTGTTTGCTATATAAACCACAATTGTTTTAAGTAATCTGTTTTGTTTGCTGACAACGATGAACTAATTTGCCTTATTTTGTCCCAGGTTGCTGGGTGTGAACAGAGTGGTGATCTATAACACCAGCTGTGGTCCAGAGCTCAATCGCCTGTTGCAGAGTTACAGCGACGAGGGCTTTGTGGAAATGGTTCCTTGGCCCATTGACAAGCATCTGAATCCATCTCGTGGCTGGCTTCACTCAGAGCATGGAGGGGATTTGCATTACTTTGGCCAGCTGACCACACTTAATGAGTGCATTTACAGATCAATGGAGCGTTCTCGCTACGTCCTGTTGAATGACATTGATGAGATTATAATGCCATACCAGCACGATGACCTGATGTCTTTGATGAACACGCTCCAAAATCAGCATCCAAATGTAGGCTGTTCTTGTAATAAGTTTGAAAAAAATAACACAATTACATTTCATCAAAAATTCAGTATCCCATACAATAAGTTGTATTTGACTTGTTTTTATCTGATTTGAAGGCAGGAGTGTTCCTTATTGAGAATCATATTTTCCCAAAGAAACACTTTGAGCCAAGCGGACGGTTTCACCTGCCTCAGTGGAACGGGGTGCCAGGAATTAATATTCTGGAGCACATCTACAGGAGGACCCCGCCAGAAACGTATACCATCCACACAAGATGATAGTTCGGCCAAGGTAAGCTGAATTGTCAGATGGAAGATTTATCTATTTAGGATACAGTTCTTCGGTTTACTCATAATACATATACTGTATGACTGCTATTAAAAAAAATAACTACAACTAAATAAAACAGTACTTAGTTATTGAACTTCCCAAAACCATGATAAACATACAAGAACATCAAATGACCGTTTGCTACAATAAGTCTCAAGTACAAACATATTTAAGAACGTCTGAATAACTTGAGGGTTATTTTCTCCAATCTTTCCTTAACAATCTCTTAAGTTGAAGTTATTCTGTGAAACTTTCCATATGGAATGTTCTCTGAAAGTTATTGCCAAAAAACCCAGAACAACCTTGAGGGAGCATTCACTATCCCCAAGGCTGATTTGTGAAACCTTCAGAGAACTTCAGGGCTCTTCCTAAAGAACAGGATCTTCAGTAATCAATGCATTTAAAACCTTAACTCCAAGCAGTTAACTGTCTGTGTTTTGTGTCACAGAATGTGGAGTGGACTTCAGTCCATGAATGATCAAGAATTTTGGAGAACGCTACAAGGTTCCACTCGATGTTTGTCGGATCATTCATGTCCGTGGCTCTACAGGGATCATTAACCCTGGAGCAGCTTAATGTGGATAAACGACTGTGGGACTTTCAGGAAAATCTCATTCCCAACGGGACAAAGTGTTGAAGAGGGTGGGGATGCTGAACTTGACATAGAACTAATGGATAAGATGTACAGGCACTACGATGGACACTTTTTAAACACAGTGAATCAGATCGTGAATGTGCATCTTTGAATCAGGGGCATTGTGAATTCATTGTGTCATTGTTTTCTGAAAACATATTTTGCACCTGGTGCCAGTAAATCCCTACATTTCAGTGAATAACTTCTTAATTGCCATCATTGATAATTACAAGCTTTTTGAAGGACACATTGGTTCTAATACTGTGTGATATGAGTGTGACCATTTAAATAGTCCTTAATATAAAACTGTTGACTTGAAGAACTGCAATATTTTAACTGCCCTGCCTGAAGAGAGAAAAAACATTTACTAAATCCACAATATAACATACCATAGAATTCTCCAGTGGTCAGCTTCGAAGAACAAGAGATGGCGAAAGTGGGGGGGGGTTTCACCTGGGGTGGCTGTAGCTCAAGAGGTAGAGCAGGTCACCTACTAATGGTAAGGTTAGTGGTTTGAATCCCGATCGAATCACCGTAATATGTGAATATTATATGGCATGGCACTAACCCCAAGTGTGTCTGTGACGCATACACTGGATTATGAATGTTAGATAGAAAGAGCTTTGGGGAAAAGGTACTTTTGTTTATGAGGGAAGCTGTGTAAAGAGCTTGAGTGTCAGAGTAGTAGCAGCTGCATAAGAACCACTGAATCTACCTTGTTTTTCGATCAGATTTGGACTTTCAAAATAAAGCTTAAAGACTTTCTGGGAATAAAGGCAACATCTCAATATAAAGAGACGAGGCCCTGCCTCTCAAGGCCTTGTATATTGTGAAATTTGAAGATGATCCACAAAAAATGTGGGTAATATAAAGTTCTTATCATTATTAACATTTGGTGTGACCTGAGCCAATTTTCACCAAAATGAATGTCTCGCGCTGTTATTGGTATTTACTAATCACATACAACTGAAAATGATATCTTAGACTTGTATTAGCATTCCAAGCTTTACAATTGACTACATATTTTACATTTAATAACTATCTGAGAACTTGGGAGTAGCCAACAGCAGATGACCTTTAAGTAAATTGGCATCCCACCAAACTGAACTGCTGACATGATGATGGCACTAGTTAGAGGATCACCAAAGCATATGTCCAGCTTGAGGTTTTTGGTAACTCATGTGATCTTCTGTGATTTCACATACATCAGTATGGATCATATAGCATATAATGACCGTTTTGGCCACCTGGTATTCTCTGGGAATCCAACCTTCTTGTCGTTGTGTGTATTATTTAAATATTTTTGTCATTTTTTCCCAGCCACCATGAATCACGAAGGTCCAGGGAATTTCTTGACTCTTACAGCTGGGTATGTTTTAAGTCAAACTGCTGTGCTAATACTGTACTTTCTCTGAGGAATTCTTGATATTTTTATATTAGTTTGACTTTTCAACAGGTATGTTTTTGTGTCTTTGGGGGGGAGCAGGTTTAAGTTATAATGGCAATAATTGTTACTGTCTGCAGCTTGGATGATGCCTACAGTTTAAAGGTCATGATCCGAATGTGCCTGTTAAATGTAAAGTTCGATTATATTATGATATTATAGATGTTTTTGTTTCACTTCCTCAGGTATACCTTCCTAGCATGAGATTGGACCCATTGCCTTCAGATTTACCTTAATTGTTTTGAGGCATTAAATTACGGTTAAACTGGATCCATGTGGTTATTTGGTGTTGGGTTGAGAGGATTTGCAGTTTGTGAAGTGTGTTATCCTGTTGAAAGCAACCATCAGACGGTGATTTTGATCATAAAGGGATAGACATGGTGAGCAACAATGATCAGGGTGGTGTTTAAAACAGTTTGCAGTTTGTAGAAAGTGGTTCCAAGAGTGCCAAGAAAGTGTTACTCACACCATTACACCACCACTAGCAGCAGTGTTGGAGAGTAACTAAATGTACCAGCGTTATGTATTTAACCTCCTAGGACCCGGCGCCCACATATTTGGACATCACATTTTGGGGTTGTCTAGACCAAAATACAAATTTTTCTCTACAAGGGCCAGATAAACACTTACATGGATATTATGCTGCCACGTTCTATCAAAATCAGTAAAAATAGCAAAAATATTAAAATGCATGCCATGAAAGAGCTCAAGTCTTAGGACGTTAAAATACAAAATATGAGTAACTGTATCCGTTACAGTTCACAGTTAAATGCATGATATTCAGAATAAAGTTACTTTGTTTAAATAAGTGGATATAGGGCAGTCATTTTGTGTTTCATAGGCTATCCCCTCTTTATCCCTTCGCCAGTTTTGGTGATTAATTGCAGTTGGTATTAAATCTAGTTCTTTATGATTCTTTTACTGAATACAGAGAACACGACTCAGTCTTCAAAGTGTTTATAATTATTTATTCAATCAAATTCCGGAAGAGAGAGAGACGTGCACAGCCCAAGCCATTTGCAGATCTCTAGCATTAGAAGCCAAAAATGTGTATCATAACAGGTGTTATTTTGGTCCTTTACACGTCACACATAGTTGCGATAAAAACAACTCCTTCCTTGTTATTTAGTTCCGCTCTTTCTGTCTGGTTTCCTGCATTTTATTAATATGCCTCTGTTGCTAAGTCGACCTGTCACCCTCTGACCTAGTTCTCTCTCACAGCTGGCCTTGCTTATACAGGCCTTTATTATTAAAATACATAAAACAATACAACCAGAAAAAAATCACTAAGAATATATATTTGTTCCGTAACATTGGGCACAGGTTTAGCTCGAATGGATGAGCGTGCACTTATATGGCCCATGGCCGAGAGTGGCCGACCAGGGTTTTCAGTATAACCTGTGGGATCCTTTTTTTTTTTTTTTTTTTTACCCTGGGATGAATACATTTTCTCTGATTCTGAAACCCAAACAAAACGCGCAATGAGAGGCTCTAATGTTGATGCTGTCAGTTACACACTGGACCTGGCACCAGCAGAAGGGAACCAGCAGTGCATGAGCAGGAATGCGTTTTTTTTACTTGGAAATTCCAACACCACTTCAGAAGAAGAATAAGATGGGCAAAACTTCAGTACCTTCGATGTGCTATTGCTGTAGTTTTTAAAATATTGATCTGTACCACACTGTTGAGATGTCCGTTTATGGTAAAATGTCATGCAAATACAAGTACATTAGATAATGCAGTTGAAGAAAATCAAATAAAGGGCCAAATTATAATTAAATTAATAACAAAAACTATCCGGGCATTGGATACAGTTTATTTATAGTAGCATGCCAGTGAACATTCAGTTGATGGAATGAAAACAACAACAAAATACATAGTTTTTTCATCTGCAAATGTGACAAATGTGCTACAGCACAAAATACTCACATTCAGACCACTTTGTTCGAATGCTACTCTGCAAAATCAGTTTTGTTTTTAAAAAAAAATAAAATAGAAAAAGTGCAAATCAAGCACATCTGCTTGTGGTTTTGGTCGTTGGGGTCTTAGAGTGTAACATTTATTCTGTGGTCTTGGAGAGCTGGATCATGGTTGTCCAACTCTAGATGCTGGTTTGTTAACTTGGTTCAGACACAGCCAGGTGGAAACCTTTTGAGAGCCATTGGTTTCTGGTCCAGTAAGGCACAGTCCATCTTGTAGACCAGGTATTCAAGTCAAGGATGTACCTGAAAAGTGGAATATGCCATCTCCTTAACTTGTAACTTATAACTTGTCTTATACGGGTGTAATAGCACATCAGAAAGTTTAATTCCTCCCATATGCTAATTATATACAGGGATGAGTGATGGGCATGGAATGGTGATCTTTGCATTGGACTCTTTGCTCCACCGTTTGACCGATGAAAGAAGCATGAACAGACAGGCATTGTTTAGGAGGTTGACACATTTCTTGTCTAACCATTTCATTGCAATCAGACCTTCATCAGACCTGTAATAACAGGCTCCATGGCCCTTCTTCATCAGGTCTTTGTCTGCCATCAGGGGAGCTCCACCGGTGCAGTTTGATCATACAGTACCAATGCACCTGACACCCAAGGAGGTGTGCAAGTTCTGGACCAAGCAGAAACCTGTGAAGAGCTGGGGTTCTTTTATGGGTTTGCATAGTGTTTTTGACAACTTTGCCCCCTTAGATGGAGCTTCTGTTCCTTTTCACTCAGGGGAGCATTGAAGAATGTGGACCCCCCTTGATACAGCAGCAAGTCGTGGATGATGCCAGATGAACTTGCTTGGCAGAACAATTTAAAGCCACACACATGCACTCCCATACTCTCACTGAGTATGCCAGTTGCTGTACCACTGGCCTGGTGTTCA